CATTCTTTCATTCCTTCCTTCATTCATTTGTTCATTCATTCAGTGAATGTTGAACCCTCCAATAAATGAATTTAATGAAGACAAGAATATAAAAACTGAGCACTGGAATATAAAGTCATGAAACAAGTGTAACAGTTCCACTTGTTTGAAGATTAAGCACCACTTCCCACCAATCCTGGGAGGTAGTACTTAATCTCAAATAATTCTTCATAATGGTAATACGTTTGCTGTAACCATCAGACATCCACCACGGCTTTCCTAGAGGGACCGACATTATCATTTAAATAGAAATCCTTGGCTTTATTTATTAGCGAACACACTGTTCTCCGGGTAACGGTTAAGCCCAGTGATAGAGCAGAGCACGGGATCAGGTAATCTGATTTTCCGATGAACATGACTAAGATGTTTGAATAAGAGACTCATAAATATTAACCTGAGCACCTATTTTAAAGAAGCCAAAGGCAATCAAAATGCTGAAGTCAGTTTCTTCAGATGGAAACTATGTACAACAGCAATTATGGATGGAGGGGGGGGCCACCCAGGCCTGTACTGGGGGCTGACAGACAAGAAGATTAGAACCATACAAGCCTGCAGTGCGACACATGGGTGTGTCTCAGCTCTGAAAACGTGTGTCTATGGCCATATCACAATGACCTTAAGGCCTAATACTTAAATTCCGTGAATGACAGGGGCTTTGGTTCTCAATCTTTTTACCCATGAGATAACTTTTTGTAACATCAAGCATTCCTTGTATACCCACATAATAAGAGTTGCACTTTTCGGATCTTTTGAGAGTTGAGGAAAAATTAAGCTAAGGTGGATTCGCACGTCCCTTACAATAAACCTGCAAACTACAGCCTGAGGACCACTGAAGTTAATGAAAGCTAGGGTTGCTTCCACGTCCAAGGCTCCGGCTCTTCTATAGCTTTGCTGCCAACGACTTCCCTTGAACACTGTGTGGATGACATGCTCACTACTCCTGTTTTGTGGCTGGTTGTCTGTGGGGTTAGAGCAAATGCTGAACAGAGATTCATCTTCCTCTAACTTCTACCGAGTGAGCCCTGTTCCACCACTGAAAGAACATGAACTCACCAGGGTTCCTTTCACACAATGGCTTTCCAGTGCCATCCTGAAATCCAGAAAAGACTGGCGCCTCACAAAGATGTACAAATCACAGCAAATCAGGATACATCAGGAAAAGGGGAAGAGAAAAAAGAAAAAGAGAGAAGCTAGGAAATGAGTTCCAAACCCCATTCCGTTAGTGACCCAGGTGTAAGCTGTAGAGCCCCCCAGGGTGGCTCTAGGTTTTCTAGAAGTCAGCTTGCAGAGGGACTCCTTATCAGCTGCACAATTCATGATACCCTCAAGCACAACTTCCCTCAGAACAAACATGAGGGCTGCCGCTGCTCAGGTCAGCCTGGAACAGACACCATGGTTCCTCATAGAACAGTCCATTGGGATGTCCTGAGCCCCACGCTTCAAATTTCCAGTAGAATGACCACAATGTCAACAAAAGACATTATGCCAAAGTACTATGGGGAAAAAGCAATTCTGTGAAGGGCTAACATGGTGGGGACTCCGTACCGAATTCCCTGCCATAGATCTGGCTTGATACAGGGGTATATTCTAGAATATTTGGAAGAGAGGATCAAATAAATATAAATAATTTTCCTTAAATATTGGTTCTTTTAGGTGAACTTTTGATAACTATTAAGCTTTTGATTAAATATTAAATAAATACGCATTTAATGCCAGGCACTGTTCTTAGCATTTTACATCTACTATCTCATTTAATATTCGTAATAGTTTTATACCATGTTACTATAATATACCCTACTGTAGAGGTGAGGGAGCTGAGGAAAGAAAAGATTAAGACCACTAGTATTGGTTGGAGCCAGGATTTGAACTTAAGACATCGAATTCACTCTCCTTTTTGACCACTACAGAATCCCAAAAGGTAAGTTGGGTTAACACCCTTTGTGAAAGTTGAGGATTTGAAGAGAAAAGGGAATGATGAGGTCAATTTATCTCTGTTGAGAAGTCAAAGCAATGGGCATTGGTGGAAAAAGGGGGTTGGGACACCAAAGACAGGGAGGAAAAGGAAAGCATCAAGTCAAGTGCGTACTATAGAAAATCATTCCTTTGTTCCTTCTTCAACCTCTTCAAACTGCAAACTGTAGTGGTTCCAAATATGTCCGTGATTGCTTTGATAGTCTTTCCTTGGAGATGGAAGCTTATTCCTTCCCTTTGAGGGTGAGCTGGATCTGGTACCTCAGTTCTAATGAATGGAAAAAAGCAGAAGGGATGGTGCGCCACTTTGGAGATTAGGTCAAACAAGGCACTGTGGCTTTCTCTTTGCTCTCTCTCTTTCGGATCACTTGCTCCAGGTGAGCCAGCTGCCATCTGGGACAAATAACCCAAGACAAAGGCCACATGGTGAGGAAGTGTGGCCGTCTGCCAACAGCCAAGAGAAACCGAGGTCTTTTTGGCCAACAGTCAGTCATGTGAATGAGCCATCTTGGAAGTCATCTTGGGATCCTACAGCCCCAGTCAAGCCTTCAGATAATTGCAACCTGAAGGGGAGCAGAGTTTGCCACCCCCAAAATATGCTTCTTTGGGATATTATTTTAAGCTGGTTATTTTCAAGAAACAAAGGACTCAAAAGAAACTTCACCTTCCCCCTAACTGCTAAAAAGAATTTAGACGAAGGATTAAAATAGCTGTCATCATAGGGAACTACAGTTCATTATGAACTACTATGAAAGGCAGGGGGGAAGCAAGCGAGGCCCACTGATCAGAGCCCTCTCTGTGTCCATGGTTAAAGGTGGTTAAAGGTGGCCCAGCAAACACTTATTTACCATACATTTGCTTTTCCATTTCCATGTAAATTGCGTTCTTCCTCTTTGAAATCTCAAACCATTTCTCCCATCTTGTTCCTTAGCTCAAGGTGACATATAGGCCTCGACTTCCTTACTTGTCCCAGGGTCCCAAATTCTTATGGAACCTTTGTGTGCACACACACAATTAAATTTGGTTATTTTCTCCTGTTAATCTGTCTCATGCCAATTTGATTATTAGACCAGCCAGAAGACCTCAGAGGGACAGAAGAGAAAATTTCCCCTTCCCCACAGACCCAGTTTGACTGCCACCTCATGAGACACCCTGAACCTGAACCACCCAGATAAGCCTCTCATGGATTCTTGACCTTCAGAAACTCTGTGAGATAATACATGTTTCTTAAATGGTTAAAAATTGGGGTTATTGGTTACACAGCAATAGATAACTAAGGCACAAACTGGTAGGTACACCTCGAAATAAAACAAAAGAGAACAAATCAAAATAAAACAAAACTCATTAGCTAGAATTCCCACAGGACAAAGAAACATCCCAAAGATAGCTATCTTCCTTTAGGGAAGGTTTGCCCCGAAACTCTCTTAACTCAAAGATATTAGCAACTCAATTCACTTCCAATGTATTTTCCTAAGAGTTGGAGCTTAAATATGTATGTCACATTGTGTAAAAAAGGACAGGTAAAGGAGTTCGAAGCTTTCAAATTGCATAAGACCTTCATAGTTCTTTAAAGCCAGGTGAAAAACTGAGTATAGAAGATTGGCCAAACAATCTCCCCACCTCACAGAGAAAGTTAAGATCTTGGAATCCACTTTTAGAGAATGGAACAGCAGGCAGTTAACAGGCAGAAGCATATGATTAGCTGTTGGTTAAAAACAATCGTAACTCATTTTGAAAGGAAACATTCGCAAGTGTTCTGAGCCTGGAAGGTGTCAGCCTTCTTAGGCCACGCACAATTGGCACAGGTTATACAGTAAATGATGACAACCAGGGCTGGAAAGCGTACTTTGATTTCCATAATTTCTAAGGCTAGCACACATTCCTGGAGTTTCCATTCTAACGTGATCATGGTCATTCATCCAGAGGCATTCCTTCCCACTTAGGCACCATGGTATCTCATTATTTTTCAATTTCCACTTCCTCTACTTTCTTGCTCAGCCCACGGCTCTGGGAGTCCCACCACATGACAGATAGGAAGCTTCACGAAGGGCGACAGATGCTAACTTATGCACAGGTGACTCAGCGCTCAGCCAAAAACTACGCCTAGATAATAAGCCTCCGCCATCAACACTCCTTCACAAAGCCCCTCATGAAGCTGCCATTTTAGAACAAAGACATGTTTTCCCAGTAAAATTCAATAGCATGTTATAAGCATTTGTACTTTCTTCCTTTTCCAGCCTGCATGAAATTTCATACCAGGATTATTCTCCATTTGTCATTTCAATTTATAATTCCGTAGCCTTGTCACCTTTGGGTTATGCCTCCCTCACCCCTTCACCGTCAGCTTGCAGCGACAGATTCATTCAAGAAGCAGTCTAGGTCATGTTGTTTGAACTCTTGGAACAAACATTTTCCCCATCTCATTCTGCTTCTCTGAGAGGCACCATTAGTTTTGCTCATCTCAATTTAAAATGATTTTTATGACAATAACATTTCAAGTTTCACATTAATCTTCAATTTTTTTTCTTGAAATACTTAGGCAAACAACATTGCTAAGACATCCCTGATGAGAAATTCTCTTTCCCTTTCACTCCTGTCTGCTTAAAGCCAACTCTGAAGAACGCATACATTTTTGCTCTGAATCAACTGAGCACGGGAAGAAAAGTTCAAAAGATTGGTCTAGTGATTTACAACATCTTAGAATAAACACTGTGATACGTAATTAAAGCACAAAAGTCTTTCCTTCCTTCCAAAAAAGAATCATTCTATCATCTATCTATCTATCTATCTATTTATCTATCAACCATCATCTATCTCTTATATCTGGAATCCTATATGCAAATTTTTAAATCTGTTTTCTCATATATCAGTTCAAAGATGTCTGCGTCCAAATGGAAAATGAAAATAAAACATGTATATACTCCCAGCCAATTTACCAAAGCAAAACAAACACGCAAGTAATCAACACCCAGGGGTGCCGCAGTACTCACCCCACAGCCCAGGCCGTCGCCCCCTTCACAGGTGACTTTCCTTTGTTCGGGCTCCGGAAGCAGCCCCGCCCCGCAGCCAGGGCTGGGGCACAGCACGCCCCCCATCCGCAGCACGCACTCCTCAGCACCATATTGCTGGTACCGGTTGTACTGCAAAAGGAGAAAAGAGTTTTAAAATGATTAACATATACACTAACATGTATTAGCCAAAACACTAATAGTTGGTGCTGTATGTGTTTTCTTGTTAATCTGTTTCAGTAAAAAATGAGGGGTGGGTAGATAAGATATGGTCCAACATAGAGAAAGGCTTCTAATTCCAACTGGCAAAAAAGATAAGTAAGGTATTTATTTATTCTCTGTAGTTCTACAAATTTGTTCCCCCAAATCGATTTTCTAAAGTTTGTTTTTTTAAATACTACTTCCATTAACTTCACTTAATATTCTTATTTCATACAAATTTTAGGGAACATACCTATATTTCAAGTTATGGACACTTTCAATGCATCATTAGCAATCTCATCAAGTAGGATGTTTTCACGCCTCTATTCAGGAGTCTACGGGTTTTTGAAACCATTTTGAAAACAGGTCCCAATATTCCAGCCCACGGTAACTGTTAGCAGCTGACACGATATCACTCAGCACATTCAGCTGGATGAAGAAGTAGCTAATATTAAAGAACAAAACTTTCCTTTCATCACTATTCCTTGTCTTCAGGAATGCTTTCTTTTATCTCTCACTTCAGTTGTTTGTGCTACTGTTTGGCTCAATTCTCTTTAATGGTTTCCCCGGCCTGCAGAGTAAAACCCAATCTCCATAGTACAAGTTTCAAGGTCTTCCTGGCTGCAGCCCTCAGTTACTGTTCTCGCATTATTCGATCCTATTCTCCTCTAAACTAGGATCAAGTCAAACGGATTTGCTCTGCTATTACTTAATTTATGCAACATTTATTGAAAGCCACTTTGTGCCAGACAGCACTGTAGGTGCTGGGGAGACAGCAGTGAACAAAACTGACATGTCTGCTCTCATCCAAAAGAGTGTGACAATAAATCCTGAGAGATTAAACTGTATAGTGCTTCAGATGGCGATACGTGGGAAGGAGGATAAAAAAACAGAGGAGATAAATCCTAGGGAAGATGGGGATTACAGTTTCAAAGAGGTGATTAGGGAATCGGGAATGCCATAGAGAGAAGGCACATTTAAGCGAACATCTGATGGAGATTAGAAAAGCAAGCTGCATGCTACCTGGGGGACAGCTTTCCAGGCTGAAGACACAGCATTATAAAGGTCCGGAGGCCACAATGTGGTCGGCTTGCTTGAGGTGCAGCCAAGGAGCCAGAGCCGCTGAGGGGAGCGGTGGGCGGGGACATAGAAGATGAAATCAGAGAGTTAACGGGGATCTAGGCTGCAGAGGTTCCCCCAGGGCCACTGTAAGAGCTCTGGCTGTTGTTCTGAGAGATACGGGCATCACCGGAGACTTTTGAATTGTGGAATGGCATAATCTGACTAATCTTTTTAAGAGAGCCATCTGGCTGGTATGTTCAGAATAGGGTCCTGGGGGCAAAGATTGGCGCAGGAAGCAGGACACAGGTAGAAAGCTACTTCAGCCATCTGCCTGGGAGATGGTGGTGGCTTGAACCGGACGGCAGTGGTGAGGTGGGCGTTGGTGGTTGAGTTCTGGGTATATTTTGAAGGTAAAAAAGGTGAAACTTTTAGGCATATTGGATACAAGGTGTGAGAGAAAAGGAGTCAAGCATGAGTGTGATATTTTTCCCTGAGAAGACAGAAGGTGGGGGTGGGGGGGAGGAAGAGAGAGGAAGGGGGGAGGGTGAGAGAAAAGAGAGAGAGAGAGAGAGAGAGAGAGAGAGAGAGAGAGAGAGAGAGAGAGAGAGAGAGAGGGAGAATACCACTGAGATGGGAAGACTTGCAAAACGAAAGGGGTGTGTGTGTGTGTGTGTGTCTGTGTGTGTTTAGAAAGGTGGGGGATGGAGTCATTATTTCTATTGTGCTCATATTCCATTTGACCACCTATTACACAGCTAAGTCAAAATGTTGAGTGGCTAACTGGATATATGAGCTTGGAGTTTAGGAGAAAGTGTGGGTTGGAGGTACACATTTAGAAGTCATAGGGACATATGGAGCTGGGAAGGAATGGGTTAGCATAAGCCTACTACCCATTTTCTTAATTTTCTGGCCCCAGGAAAGAAAGAAAGATGACTTGGTTAGATCCCCTTGTAAACATGCTAATGGTACATTTATGCAACAGCATTTGCTAGAAAAGAGCTCTTATTTATGGAATACATTTAGCAGGAAATACTTGGTCTGTGATTGCTTATGGTAAACAAACTAGAATATGTGAATTTATGGAAAAGGCTCTCTGGAAAATGTCATAAGCTGTGTGATTATCAAGGGATAAAATGAAGATATTTTATTAAGTGGTGTATGATGAGACAGTTTATAGAAATTTCATGTTAGTGATCGTTTCATGAACTTCTCAGAAACCTTATTTATTAAATCTTGCCTAGAGTCACCTTAATATGCCGAGAAAGGAACCGGGGGCCATGTTAAATGACTAGAGGAGGAAACGGCCATTTGTGTTGAATGCCATTGAGAAGCCAACTAAGACGAGGTCCAGAGTGCTCAGGTCCCTTCTGAGCTCACCTGCACACCCCCTCTCTCCTTTTATGTATCTGCAACTCCTGAATGTAGCATCATATCTCGTCCACAGTTGATACACAATAAATAGTTGTAGAATGAATTAATGAAATCTGACTCCATTAAGTGTCAATCAATTAAAGCATTCTAATAAAATAACCTATGGCAATGAGATTAATAATAGAGTGTTATAGGATGGTTTTACCTACATAAATTGTTTTCCTATTTTAAATAAATTGCTCTTAAGTAATTGGCTATTTTCTGATTTGATGACAGATTATGTATCTATTTAATTTAGTCAGGCAATTTTGCTACTACAGTAGCTTTCATCCAGGAAGATGTTAAACTGTGGATAAAGTCCAACAACACTTTAGAAATTCTTGCTGACTCCATTCGTCGTGGTTTCAGATACTGATGAGCACATAATGAATGCTTTCCATTCATTAGCTAAAAAGTTTATAAGAAATTACTTTATTATATTTATTCCATTTATGGTACACTCCGGAGCATTTAAGCATACAACTGCTTTTCTAAAGGAAGACACATATTTTAACGTATATGCTTGGTAATTTTTGATGATTAAAAAGTATACTCAACATCTGAAATAAAACCTATGCCACGGAACTTTTTTTTTAACATTGTCAAATTTATAAGAAAAACACTTGACCTCGAGCCAATAATGTTCTAGTAGTCACGGAACGTTTAATACCCTCAGGAAGTAATTTAGACAGGTAGTTATATATATGTCATTAGCAGAGATCCTTATTTCGTTCCCTTCACGATGTGACCCACATTTCCATAGAATCCTTTCAACCACTTACTGGCACAAAGTTGAGAGTGCATTGAGAGAATCCGATTATACACTCACTGGAGAGTTGTGACAAATTAGCACTAAGTAGAACAGAATATCTATATTCATCTGAGGGTAAGGTATATACAATAGTGGTAAAGTGATAAATGAATCCCAAGTAAAAAGAAACCAACACTGATTCGTTGATACTACTTGTGTTATTTCCAAGGACTTTTTTACTTATCGATATTGGATAGGATTTTACAAATAGGAGAAACTTGGAGGAATGTGATTAACTTGTAATGTGGACGGGGTTGGTACAGAATCCATTCTTGAATAAGCTCAAAAGCAGCAAATTCTCTAAAAATCACTTATGCGTTGTTGGTCTCTGGATCACAGAGAATGTCTGCATATATTAGAAAATGTGTAGGTATATTAATACTTACCTGCCGACTTATACAGTTCAGCTATTACTAAAACTAGTTGGCAAATTTCTAGATACCCTTTCATAAAGTGGATTATCCACAGAAAACTTAGAGTTGACAACACAATATTTGCAAAAAATTTTGAAAATAAATGTTGATTTTAACAAAGCATACTACTCTACAACTAAGGAAAAAATTAAAAAATAAGATATTTCCTCTTATATTTCATCAGATTGTAGTGGAAATACATTCCGTTAGTATGACCTATCTAGGTAAAATCTCAACTCACTGCTATGGTTTATATTTTATTTATTTGGGGAGCAAATTATTCAGCCTTTATGTGTATGCTGTGGATTCTCTTAAGAACAGGAACTACTCATTCTAAAGTATAAAATTCATAGACGTTTCAATAAGCTCAGCTTTTAAGAATCTAAATAATGAGTCATGGGAGAATATAATCAAATAGAGGTTGTGCTTTTGGTGGTTTGTAGGTCATTAGAAAGAGCGGGGTTGGGTAGAATACTGTTCTATAATGAAGCCAGGGTCACAGGTTCAAGTCCCATGTGGGCCAGTTAGCTTCCCCTTTCTTTCCGGCCACTGGCTGCATGCCATATACGGGTGGCCCCCCGAGGGAGGGGTCAGGCTGGGAAGGAACTGCATCTCAATATCCCTCACTGTGAAAACCTCTCCAAAGACCTGTCCTATGTAGGAGGGCACACAGGACGTCGTGATGTTTAGTTCGCATGCTTTCATAAGAAAAGAAAGCAAGAAGGAATCTCAACTTTGAAACTGCAAGTAATTTGAAGCACAGGGGTAAAATCTGGGAAAACTGGCAAATGTTCTGTCAAAATGAGTCACGGCTTGTCAGCCATCCAGGAGCCGCATGGCAGCCTTTCAAATCCTCTGAGAGCAGGGAAGCAGGCTGTTTTTGTTCTGCTGTGGAATTTTCCAGACTATCCTTTTGGGGGCACTCAGGTACAGCTGTAAAAGCAACCTCAGCCCAGGCTAGGGATGGTCTTGCTCTCCCCCCTAAATGCTGGTGGCCGTAGAAGCACTCAAGACGCCCTCCCTGGGTCATCTCTCTTAATCCACCCTGGAGGAGAGAGAGGAACCCTGCCCAGCCGTATGGTTCACGGGATTACTACCCAGTTCATGTGCCGGTGCTAACACTGCCTATGCAATTCGTCCTCCATGTCCCTGGGAAGTAACAGGTGAGGACACTGAGTCACAGAGAAGTTCAGTTTTTCGCTGAACTTGACCCACAACACTGCATCAGCGCTTGTTGTTTAACAGACAGCCTTGCCCCAATACCAAGCCACCTCCACTTTTTTTCTTTCTTCCCCTTTTATTAACAATTTTTTTCCAGCTCACTATTCCTTGGTCATCTTTTAGAAACTAATGAAAACCAGTTTATTACAGCACTTCCTCTTTGGATTAAAAAAATGTAAAATAACTTTATAGAGGAACACGAACTTCTGATGAATCCATTTGTTCTTGTGCCAAAGATGCCCTATTTTCTACATATATTAGGATTTTTGCTTTTCAAAAACCTCCTTGAGTTTTCAAAAATCTTAGTCTTATTTTTCTTCATTTGCAGGTACTTAGCCCGGGGGAGTTGGTGACAGCCTTGTGGGGTGCCTGCCACATTGCTCTGTGTATTCTCTGTTCTGCTGCTAATAATGTTTTCTTCACCCTGGACATCTGTCATCTACTGAAGAAGTAAATTGGCTAGAGAAAGGGCTGGACCCTGCTCCTTGCATAGAAAAACAATCATTAGGGTGGCTGAAATAAAATGTGAGGAGGAAACAATTCAAACAACAACTAAAATATAATTAGAGCAACAGACTGTCCTGGATTGCAATTTATTCTTTTTCTTTTTCTTTTTTTTTTTCATTTTCAGATGTTTCAGATGGCAGGATGCCAAAAAGTATCTCGATTTGTAATGGCTGTGGAATCTTCTGGAAAGGAGGTCAAAACCAACTGATTTCTTTGTCCCTTTTCCATGTACTTTGTTGGAGAAGTCTACTGATGGGAGTATAAATAGTACTCAAATTACAAACATTTTACTGAAGCACTGAATATTTGCAACATACATTGCAATCCTATTTACAGAAATTCTAAGAGATGACTGTGCATTACTTTTCTACAAATGGAAAAGCCAAACAAGAGAGGCTAAAATGACTTGTAAAACCGATTAATATAAAATTTTCATTTCATCCAGTAATGTAAGTTGCCTCACACATCCAGAGAGAGCCTGCGAGTTGGACCAGCTCCTGGGGAGGTCCCCCCACACCCCAGCAACCACCATGGGCAGCAGGGTGGGGCTGGGACTCTCAGCTTCCTCTCCAGAGCCTCATGTGACCATTTGTCCCGAGGCCACTAGGTTTTGTCACGCACCATCAGGATAGAAATATCCCTGACTGATGTGTCCCGTTTACATCAATCACCAGAGAGGTCCCTAGCTTTTCTCCAGTCTGACCCCCAATCTCACGCTCAGCTCTGCACACCCCTTTTCTCTACCCCTCCTTCACTGCCCCAGCTCCTGTCCCTGAGCTGGGGAACCCAGGGTCAGTCAGTGGACAATGCTCTGTGACATCAATCTACTCTATTGTTTTCCTCATACTTTTTTTATCATGGAAACCGGCTTATGCTGGAGAACACTACTTCACCTTCAGCCTCCTCAAATGTCTTCTCCACGGCACGCTTGATACCAAGTGCTCTCGGTGGAACGGTTTTCCTTTCTCCTTCTAAACCCCTCCAGCTTTGCCTTTCGAACCACCAGGCTCCACTTCTGCAGTCAGCTGACACCCAACCCCCTCATCTCTCTCATCCCCGCCCCATTTCTTGAAGCTTCAGTCCCTGACACCACAACTCCCTCCAGTTCTGCTCTGGATAACTGTGGAGCAACTCAGTGTCCACACGGGCGACACTTCCAACACCCTGGCTTCCCGAGCCCGTGGCCATCTTGTCCTCCGCCCTCGCGGCTGCCAACATCCTGGCCCTCCCCTGACCCTGTCACTGCCGGCCAATGCACCGTCTCCAAGATCTCAGGTCAGGCATCGTGTCTTTGGCCAACACCTACTTTTCCAGCTAAACCCTTCTACCACCCAAACTCCAGAAATGCTTTGAGCCCACTGTGACCTGGAACCAATGGGCCCCACACCTCTCCCCATCCTTCTGTCCTCTCATCCCACTTTCCTTACCCAGCTGAAATCTCATGCTCGGTCTTTCTGCTCACTCCCTTAGGTCCACCCTTACCTCCTCGGCCTCTCTCTTGTTTTGTTTCACTCTCTGCCTTTTCCCCATCTGGGCCTACACAGTTGAATGTGACAGAAAAACACCCCGGTGGTTTGCTCTCATAGCAAATTCACTAATTTCCAAAGTTTATTCACTCCCTGCCCTCCTAAATGACGACAATTGCATTATCCTCTCATCTCCCTGTAAAACTCTTCCGCCATGTTGGCTCTCTGCTTTCTATTTCACTGGAAAAGAGAAACAAGCAGTAAAAATCTTCCTACACATCCCACCTTCCCCACTGAGATGGGGGGGGGTGCTGCCCATACTTTTGTCTCTGCCAAGTCTACACTCAGGGAGCTGTCGAATCAAGGACGTCACCCCCCCAAATTCTCCCCTCTCTCCTGCATCATCAGCCGCCCCATTCTTTTCCCAAATTGCTTCCCTCAGCACATAAACATGTGTACATTTTCCTGTACAAAAGAAAACATTCTTGACCTCACTTTCCCCCACTCACAGGTGTCTCATTTCTTTGCTCCTTTACAGCTAAATTCCTTAACAGACCCGTGTCTGCTCTCTCCCGTTCCTCTTCTCCCCTCACACGAACCCAGTCCAGGCAGGCTTGCTCCCTCACCAGCTGACAGGTCAAGGTCACCAGTGACCTCCGAGTGCCAAACCCCAGGGCTCCACTGTCACCCTCATCCTGCTGGATCAGCACGGGGCACGGATGGCCTGCTCTCCTCCTAGGAGCGCTTTCTTCTTCGGCTTCCCGTTCACACTCGCCTGGATTTCATCCCACCTTATTCCTGCTACACCTTCTATGTTATAATGCTTTTTACAAAAAACAAGCATTACTTATGGTCACTGCAGAACCGCTGTACTTGCTTTATTCTCTACCTGGAAATCTCTCTTCCCAGATGTCACCTTTCAGGCCTTTCCTGACATATCGCTTGATCTGCTAGACCTTCCCGGACCACGTCATATAGAATTTCACCTCTGCCCCCAGCACCCGCTATCCCTCTGTGGTTTATTTTTCTCTGTCTAACATAATATATACTGAATATGTTCACATGTGTGTAACATACAGTTTTCCCCAACTAGAATGTGAGCCTGATAGGGACTTATTTTTCACTCCTCTGTCCCTATAACCGAGAATGGCATATGGCCCATGAGTAGGTACTCGGTAAGAATCTGTGGAGTGAAAGGAAAGAAGGAAGGAAGGAAGGAAGGGTGCATTTTCCGGAGATATAGATCAATACTGCTGTGACACACTATGTTGCTGTGTTGTACAACTAATCAGAGTAATATTGATTTTGATTATGGATGGATTAAATGTCTAGGAGAATGCAAAGAGGCCTGAATTCTATGCAAATCTAAGGTGATGATGATGGTTGGCTTCTTTCCCTACTAATCACCCAATGATTCTAAAACTAGTACGGAAACAATCTGCAAATATTGGTACAAGTTAGAAGAGAAGGCTCCATTATCTGAGCAGAAATGTCAGGGTAACCTTCAGTGGTGCTTTCCTTAAAAAACTCTCAGGCTTTCCCAGGAAAATGGCTGTGAGATAAAGGTGTTTTCATAAATGTATGGTTGGGGAAGTTGGGTATCAACTCTTACCTGCAATGGAGGGTGATTGATTTTGTCTGTATTTGAATAAACACGAATGTTTGTTATTCTGGAAATTTGTGGCATGAAAATATGAAGGAGGCATACACGAACCTGTTAATTCAAGGAGCTGGAAATGATTCCAGTTTTTTTTTTTTTATCAACCCCTAACTAACCTCTTACTGTTTTTAATCTCATGTGGGAACGGGCAGTCCAATTTTGTAACATACACATACCAAAGGAAAACACACAAACCAAAATCCATCTACAAAACTGAGGGTCTGCATCTTCACGTGCACATTCTCTGGTCAGAGGTGCCTCGGGGAGGAAAATCGGCCTGAGAGTGTAGGGTAGGCCAGCTGCCATATTGTCAGCCCTTTGGTGTATTTCAAGGATGACCTGACATAAAGACTTAACATTATAATATGGAACCTGTAATGCCATCTAAGGATTAAGAGATTTGATTTCAAGCCGTCAAAAGTATATGTGTGGGTATGTATGTATATGATTTACAAATATCATATTATATATAATATACCTAAAACGTGTATTATTTAGAACCCTGAATTATTTACTTAGCACATCTGTTTAAAGTCTGATACGTCTCACTGAGCACAAAATAGCATTTGAATAATCTACTTTAAATGGGATGTACTTTGTATATAAGTCACATATTGACCTCCAGAGAGAAGGCGGCTGCAGTGAGATGTAAATAATGCACACAAAGCACAGAATCTGGCGGAAAGAGCGTGCACATCCACCCGCAGACGTCGGATCAGGGCCGTGTGTGACGACTGATTCTTTAGGCAGAACTCGTCTCGGCACGGATGGACTTGTTTGTTGAGCTGCCACTGCGTTGTAGCTGCTTACTGGGGGCGCCGGAGATGAAATGCTTTGGCAGATAGCAGGTGTACCAATTAATAACCTGTCAGATCTGATGGATCGAAGAGGGAGCGGGTGTCCTCACCCATCTCCAGCGTGGCCCTCTTCCGTACTTTGGGGCGCCGAGGGTGGGGACACACACTCTGCCTCCCTGGAGGGGCCCAAGCTGTCTCATTAGTGTCTGTCTTTCACGAGAAGTCTACTCACCTGCTCTTCTCCAAGAATCCTGAAGTGATGGAGCTCTTTGATCAAGGAGTTGGGGCAGCCAGCTGACAGAGAAAAAATAGACAAACATGTTACTCCCGTTCTCTGTGGTAATGTGTTCCTGCATCGTTATCACGCTCAACAAACCAGTGTGGTTGTTTGAGGGGACACAAATGCCCACCTGTGAAATACATTCTAACCAACTGCCAATGTGCCAGACCTCCAAGGGAGCCCCGGCTGGGGCCTGGCCCCCACCCTGAGTCTCTGGGAAGGAGAAACATATGAGCTGGGGGCCAGGCCTTGTGTCCCCTTCTGGCTGTGACCTTGCTTTTGTGGGGTCTTAGGGTACCGTGTCATTTCTGCCCATCCTGTGGCTGAGCCCTAATAAAAGCCAGGATTTGGGGAGGCCAGATGGGAAGTTGGTGAGTAAAGGTTCATTTCACATGGTTGTCGTGTTCTGTTTCCGCTCCCTCCAGGTGGGGGTCCTGCACGCTGAGAATGAACACAGGACAGGTGGATGGCCCCATCTGCATGGGATTGGGCTGCAGTTTAGAGCCTCGCATGGTTCTTCCAGGAGGCTTTGTCAGCACCGTACAGATGCTGGGCTCTTATGGGAAGGACCCGGGAGGGGCCGTGGCACTCTTGGTGCCCATCACCGGGTTCTACCCAGTCAGGCGATCCTATTCGAGCTTTTATCTGTTCTCTCTTCAGTTGTAAGAGAAATAAGTAAACAAATACTCTCTACCTCTCTCTCTCTCTCTACACACACACACACACACACACACACACACACACACACACGCTAGTACATGCTTGGTTATCACTTAAAATATGCTGCATCCCTGTATTTTTAACAGAATTATTCCACAGTATTAGTTTGTAGTCATTTATAATGTTAACTCTGGAAACAAAATCGACATAAAAACCTGTTTCTTTGAGATAAGATCTATGGATGACATAAACTGCTGAAGTTTCTATTAAGGACTTGGGTTGGGTGCAAACTGGGCCAAAGCAATCACTGGGCCATTGCTAGTGTTCCCGGGGCTGTCACACAAGGATGGCGGAAGCGCTGAGGATGTTTGCCAGGGGAGGGCAGGCCCGGGCAGGAAGGGACTGTGGTCATTACAGGGGCAAATGCCTCTCCTTTGCAAGAGAGATTAGGTTTGTTCTTTCTTCTAGAAGGTAGGATTAAAACCAAGAGGTGAACATTACAGCACTCGACTTCAGTTCAATATAGACAATATTGGTGCAGCCGCTGTGGAAAACAGTATGGAGGTTCCTCAAAAAATAAAAAATAAAACTACCTGATGACCCAGCAATTCCTTTTCTGGGTATTTATCCAAAGAAATCCAAAACACTAATTTGAAAAGATATCTGCACCCCTATGTTCATTGTAACATTATTCACAATAGCCAAGATATGGAAGCAACCTAAGTGCCCAACAGTAGACAACTGTATAAAGAGAAGGCAAATCTATACAATGGAATATCGCTCGGCCATAGAAAAGAATGAAATCTTACCATTTGCAACAACATGTATGGACCTAGGGGATGTTATGCTAAGTGAAATAAGTTAGACAAAGACAAATACCATATGATATCACTTATATGTGGAATCTAAAGAACAGAATAAAGGAACAAACAAAACAGAAATAGACTCATAGATACAGAGAACAAACATGGTCATCAGATAGGAGAAGGTTGTAGGGGGCAGGGTGAAAAAAGGGAAGGGATTAAGAAGTACAAAGTGGTTGCTACACAGTAGTCATGGGGATGTAGGGTATAGCATAAGGAATACAGTCAATAACGTTGTAATAACTATGTATGGTGTCACGGAGGTACTAGACTAATGGGGGGAGCTCTTCAAAGTACATTCATTAAAAACAGAAGAAATTTACAATTTAAAAAATGGCATAAGTTGCATTATAAGCTAATAACTGGGGGTTTTGAAACACAGGTTAAATGACTATTAATGAAGGATATTTTAGAGATGCATTTGACTGGGTTAGTTCTAATTCTGAAATTCTTTGGTCATGTAAAATGCTGAAACATAGTTTTAGTTTTTGATATTATATTCGATGTAGTTCTTGCTATTATAGTATTTTATATGCTGAGAAAGAATTTCATAAATGTTCATAAGGTAGTACAAAAGATTTAGAAAAATGTAAACAAAATTGTAAACAGGTGATGTCATCACCTGACAAGAGTCCAAGGAAATAAATGAAAATTCTGAGGGAAATATTTTGGAAAAATGTAGTAAATTAATTTCAGCAGACACGTCCAATACTATAAAGAAGGAAAACTAGATCCTTGAACTTATGAGACATACTTGAGCTGTCCAACTAGAGGCCACAGGCTTACAGTCTGAAGGATCTTTTCGAGAAGTTGTTCATTTCAGAGTTGCCATTGCGATGATTAAATAATTAGGAAAATTATATTCCGGATCATTTGGTTGGCTGTAATTCTACCGATATCTGCTGTAGAAATTCTGCCCTATGTCAGTTCTTGAGTTTCAGGTCTCCTGGGAGCCAGTAGTCATATTTTAGTTTTGTGAGACGCATGAAGAAAGAACAAGGCAGAGGGAATTTTGGGGGATGCATTCCCAACAAGTGAGGGTCCCCCGGTCTGGCGCCACGTGTGTGAGTGGAAGGTCCACACAGGATAAGTGCTGGAAGAACTCGGACACCCAGCACAGGGCGGGAGGCGTGCTGCGAGCAGAACCTCGGCCGAACAGGCAGGGCCCTGTCTGCATCCCAAGTAATGACTTCACATCAGTAAGATGACAGCATCTGCCATAGGAAATTGATAGAGTTAATCTGGCTACTTTTGGTTTTGTGCTTATATGTAAATTAAATTTATATTTAATTTATAAATTTTAATTTGGGCCTTCTAGTTGTATAGGCATAAAATGTTTATATCTAAATGTATTTAAGAAATATTATTTTAAAAATAATTTTATTCAACCTTAGAAATGTTTGAGGATTTTTTTTTCCCTTTACAAGTGATCCTTCATATACCTCAGATTTGAGAAAAATGGACTTGACTCATTTTAATGCCAGGTAAAATAAGAAACAGCATTTAAAATTAGCCTATGCACAGAATTTGTATTCTAACATTCTCCTAAGATATAACTAAAAGGATTGATAGCTCGAATGTAAACATCTTTAACAGAGACTAGCTAATTACCCGACACACCTGGTAGGTGCAATAAAATATAATAAACAAGGATAGATATAGCATATAGTTAGAAGGAAGGGGGTCACCATATTTAAGAAGACTCTGGAGGGGTATCTGTAACTGTGCTCATTACAGAAACATCAACGCATGAAATGGACAGACGCAAACTCAGTGTGACAATGGAGTTTCAAAATAACTCACCTAGAAAGACATGCCTACGAAATGCAGCAGCGTAGGGGGAGTGGGGGGAGGAGAGGGGGGGATAAAAAGAAACCCCCAACACTGAAATGTAAAGGAAAAAAATTAAGAAAAGAAGAGAAGAGAGCAGAAGAATGATTTGAAGTAATGATGGCTGACAACTTTCCAAGATTAATGACAGACACCAAACCACAGGTCCAGGAAGCTCAAAGAACAGAAAGCAGGATAACTATCCAAAAACCACATCTAAGTACAGCTTTGCTGAAAACCCAAGAGAAAGAGAGAATTATCACAAGTCAGAGGAAAAAGAAATCACTCTGCAAGTAAACAAGAATAAGAATTACAGAAAACTTCTCATCAGAAACGATGTATGCAAGAGAGTGGGGTGAAATATTTCAAATGTTGAAATAAAAACGCCATTAATCTAGAACTCTACATCCAACAAAATTATCCTTCATAAGCAAAGACTTTCTTTGACAAGAACTGAGGGAATTCACTGTCATTAGACCTGCCCTGTTAGAAATATTAAAAGAAGTTCTTCAAGTAGAAGGTAATGGTATGGGTCAGAAATTTGGATCTATGTAATGAAAGGAAAGTGCTGAAAAGGTAACAAACAAACTTTTATTTTTCTTGTTCTTGATTGATTTGAAGGATAACTTTAAAGTAATGAAAGTAATAATGTATTGTAATAATAATTATAATTGTAATAATAATAATAATTATTATAATAATAATTGTTAAGTAATAATAATAAAGTAGTAATGTATTAAATATAGCATATATTTAAGTGAAATGAATGCAGCAATGTCACAAAGGATTAGAAGGAGGAATTGGGAATATTCTGTTATAAGGTATCTGTATTACAAATGTTCTTTGTTCTAGTGATATTTAAAAACGGACTTAGATTAGTTAAAATAGTATATTGTAAACTTGAGGGCAACTATTAAAAAACTTAATTATTTCAATACACCCATGAAAAGACAAGAGATTGTCAGAGTGGTTAAAAAACGACCAAACAAGGAATAAAGGTTACATGTGAGTCATTTCCACCAATCACAAGAAATTCAAGAATCTGTTGACTTTAGCAGGTGATTAATCAAGTAAAAGCCTGGAGACTCTCTCAGGTGGTGGGTTTCTAATTTGATGTGATGGGGATCCGACCCTTCTCTCCAGGCTTGTCTGGTTGGAAGGTGGAAACCATTACTTGTGTTGGGAGGGCCAATGGGAAGGTCTAACTTGGAAAACATATCAAACAGTGGTTTTAAGGTGAGAAACACTAAATAGTATAATAAGCACGACACTGGGCATTTCAATTGGTTCTGAAGTCTGTCCCTAAAAAACCCCTAAGTATCAGTGTTGTGTCTGGCACTGGTTTTGGTTTGATACAGAAGGGAAAGAAATATAATATAGCCTGTGAGGACTTTGCAAATCTAGCTGGAGTGAAAGAATGTGTTAAATGGTGCCGGGTCTGTGAAGGAAGAGTGTGTATAAAATGGGAATACGTGAGGCACAGACAAGCGCATCAGGACACAGAGTCCTTCCAAACACGCCTGGAAAGGGACACCGGCGTCCAGACAAGACGTGTGTATTTTCCTGGTCGCTGCTGCTCCGTGATCCCTCTCGCTTCTCTCAGCCATCGATTCCACCATCTCTTTACCCTACACGCGAAGGTGGAGGGTTCTCTCAGTGCC